CGCCATTATTTTGACGCATACTCCGCACTGAAGGCTATAGTATATATATATATATTCATTGCTCACGTAGGAGGGTGGATAAGCGATTGTCACTTTGCTCGTTACTTATTCTGGCATTTATACTTTTTTGCTTTGTTTTTTCTTTGAGGCGGGAGGATTGTGTCGTCTATAATTATAATGCTTTGTGGTTGTCTTAGTAGCTAGTTGGTGGTGATGGTGTTTGGGGTTTTGTTGTAGATATAATGCTAGCTATAACACGTCTATAACACCAGTTTTAAGACAGCTATAACACCAGCTATAACACCAGCTATAACACACCTATAACAGCAGGTATAAGATATGTCCTTTAATACCAGCTATAGCACACCTAGGGCCTCCTCCTCCTCCTCCTCTATACCTCCTCCCAGGGCCTCCTCCTCCTCCTCCTCTATACCTCCTCCCCAGGGCCTCCTCTTCCCTATACCTCCTCCCAGGGGGCCTCCCTTCTCCTATACCTCCTCCCAGGGCCTCCTCCTCCTATACCTCCTCCAGGGCCTCCTCCTCCTCCTCCTATCCTCCTCCCCAGGGCCTCCTCCTCCTCCTCCTCTATACCTCCTCCCAGGGCCTCCTCTTCCTATACCTCCCTCCCAGGGCCTCCTCCTCCTCCTTCCTCCTACCTCCTCCCCTCCTCCTCCCTATACCTCCTCCCAGGGCCTCCTCCTCCTCCTTCTCCTATACCTCCTCCCAGGGCCTCCTCTTCCTATACCTCCTCCCAGGCCCTCCTCCTCCCAGGGCCTCCTCCTCTTATACCTCCTCCCAGGGCCTCCTCTATACCTCCTCCCAGGGCCTCCTCCTCCTCCTCCCCCTCCTCCTACCCCTCCCAGGGCCTCCTCCTCCTTCTCCTATACCTCCTCCCAGGGCCTCCTCCTCCTCCTTCCTCCTATACCTCCTCCCAGGGCCTCCTCCCCCTCCTCCCAGGGCCTCCTCCTATACCTCCTCCCACTCCTCCTCCTCCTCCTCCCCTCCTCCCATCCTCCTCCCAGGGCCTCCTCCCTATACCTCCTCCCAGGGCCTCCTCCTCCTTCTCCCTATACCTCCTCCCAGGGCCTCCTCTTCCTATACCTCCTCCCACCTATACCTCCTCACAGGGCCTCCTCCTCCTTACCTCCCCCCAGGGCCTCCTCCTCCTCTCCTATACCTCCTCCCAGGCCTCCTCCTCCCTATACCTCCTCCCAGGGCCTCCTCCTCCTTCTCCTATACCTCCCTCAGGGCCTCCTCCTCCATACCTCCTCCCAGGGCCTCCTCCTTCTTCCTATACCTCCTGCCTCCTCCCAGGGCCTCCTCCTCCTCCTCCTCCTCCTATACCTCCTCCCAGGGCCTCCTCCTCCTCCTCCTCCTCTCAGCACTCTTGACAGATGCATACAAATCGACTCGCCGCCATTATCCTGAAGCACAAGAGCCGCCGCAGTGTGACGATGATCCCGATGTTGACTCTGGCGGTGACAGTCATGGTGCCCGTCCTCACCCCACACACACAGCCGGATGTACAGACACACACACACACACACAGCCGGACGTACGCACACACAGCCGGATGTACACACATTTACATATACACACACTGTCACAATACTCATATGCAGTCACACGAATATAGAAACACAGTCACATACATACAGAATATACAGTCACACAAACAGTCAGTCATACACACAGTTGTTTGCAGTTACACACACACACACACATGCATGCAGCTAATCATACATCCAGTCACACACACAAACATGCACGCAGTCACACACACACACCGTCACGTCTGTTGTATTTGTCAACGTCCAAGCTGAGACAAGAGGAAGGTCTACCGGTGGCTGCTTTGGTCACAGACAAGCATGATCTATCAGCTGGCGCCAAGATCATTACTTAACGAGGCGTGATATTTTGTTCCTCCTGATACATAGTGACCAGACCTACCCTGCAGTGTACATGGGGGGGTTGAAGTTCGCTTGGTGGGTTGGTGGGTTATAAAGTTCTCTTGGTGGGTTGGTGTGGGTTATAAGGTCTCTCAGTTCTCTTAGTGGGTTGATGGGTTAGTTATGAAGTTCTCTTAGTGGGTTGGTGGGTTAGTTCTATGTTCTCTCGTGGGCTAGTGGGTTATAAGGTCTCTCAGTTCTCTTAGTGGGTGGGGTTAGTTATAAAGTTCTCTTCGTGGGCTGGTGGGTTATAAGGTCTCTCTCAGTTCTCTTGGTGGGTTGGTGGGTTAGTTATAAAGTTCTCTTCGTGGGCTGGTGGGTTAGTTCTGATGTTCTCTCAGTGGGCTAGTGGGTTACAAGTTCTCTCAGTTCTCTTAGTGGGCTGGTGGGTCAGTGAATGAATCACTGTACAAAAAAAATTAGGGAAAGTTGTGTTTATCTGAATTTTTAACTTTTTAATATATGTTTTCGAGTACGATGATTCCAAGTATGACTCTAGTTTGTTTTACAGCATCAATAGTTTTATCAGAAATTAGCAATTAATTTTTTATATCATCTCTGAAATTTAACCAGAAATCAGAAGGTGAAATATTGATATACGGTACATCACATATGGTAATGAAATAAATGAAACGAGAACACAATTTTATGTTATATTGAAAGCATAAACAACACATTCCTTTTCTACACTTTGTTACTAATGAAATTGAACAATAAACTATGCTAAAAATGAACACTTGAACGGCATTTTCTTTTGTGTTCCTTAGGGTCATCTCGAATCAAACTCCACACGTAGTCACCCATCATAGCTTCATCCCATCTCCCCTGATATCTCTTCTCCATAGTTTGTATGTCCTGATGAAACCGTTCACCATGCTCTTCACTCACGTGTCCCAAGTTTGGTCTGAAGAAGTCCAAGTGTGATTGCAATTTGTGTAACTTCAGTGACATTCTGCAGCCAAATTCTCTATAACATACAATTCAATTTTCCATCAGCTCTTTGTAGTTCTCAGACTTGTGGTTGCCCAGAAACCCATGTACTATAAGCCGAAATGCTTGCCAGGCATTTTTTTCAACAGTTGACATTTTGTCTTCTACATCTTTAGATGCCAACATCTGCCTAATTTGTGGTCCAATGAAGATGCCGCCTTTGACTTTGGCCTCAGACAATTTTGGGAACATTAAGCGGACGTGTTTAAAGGCGTTACTTTCTGGGTTTAATGCTTTGATGAACTGCTTCACAAGCCCTAGCGTTATGTGAAGTGACGGCAGCAATATCTTCTCTCTTTGAATAAGACCATTGTGACATACATTGTGTGCACCAGGAGTTAATTCGCTTCCGACATGCCAATCTCTTCTGTCATAGTGTTTGTCATCTGCTCTACTATCCCATAGACAGAGAATACAGGAATACTTGGTATAGCCACCTTGTAGTCCAAGCAGGAAACCTATCATCTTGAAGTCTCCACACACTTCCCAATTGTCTCTTGTATAGTTGAGCATGTCCAACAACATCTATACATTTTCAGTCTTCCTTCATGTGAACTGAGTGACCTACCGGAATTGATGGAAGTGTAGTCCCATTGTGAAGCAACACAGCGTTAAGACTTTTTGTTGAGCTGTCAATAAACAGACGCCAATCAGAAGGGTTGTACTCGATGCCTATTTGGCCAAAGAGGCCATTGACATCAGAGCGGTAACACAGCAAATTGAGTTCCAAAACTTTGAAGAAAGGTGTAAAGTTAGATGCCTTTTCCTGTGTGGACTAATCTTTCAACTAGGATCTAGTAAATTCCACTCCTTGAGACGAGATGTGAAAACCTCAGCATTTTCCTCGGTAAGACCTACATCCCTGGCTAAGTCATGTTGATTAGGAAAATGTGGGGAGTTGTTTGAGTCTGCTACATTAAAGGCAACATCCTCGGCCTCTTCAGAAGATGAGAAGTCAGCATTTGAAATCGCTGTGCCTTTTAACAGAAATCCCCCAAAATTGCGTTAAAATTGAGAAAAAGAGTGATATTTTTAAATTTTCAATAAAATATTGATAGCTTGGCAAAACCAATGGCAGATTCATAATCAGCATGTCTAAATTAGTAAAGAAACATTTCAAAATTAACATAAACAAAAAATTGTTGCACAGTGAATTAATTTAGTGCATGGAGTGTTTGTGTGAGGGAAACGTGTCTATTAATTATGTCTTTATGAACCTAAATATCAGTGTAATAACAACTTTAAATACCTGAAGTTAATCATGTAAAACACCTGAGTATACACACACACACACACACACACACACACACACACACACACACACACACACTCAGATATGAACCCAATAAGTCACGGGAGTCTCATTAAATTATTGTATTCACTAGTTTTTATATTCTAATAGGAACCATAAGACTCGCTAACCGTGACTTACTTGGAACGGAACCACATTTTTCCCGGGAGACTCAAGAGAAGAAAAAAAAACTACAAGAAATTTATGTTGGATATGTTTATTAATCTTCTTGTAAAATCGTATGGTAAAGTGATAAACATTTTGTGGATGGCGTGTGTAATCTTGACGAATTTATAACGTGTTTTATCGTCAATTTGGTGGCTGTTAATCGATAATGGATTACTATTTCACTTTTTCCTTCCTTCCTCCTTGGCTCCCCCCCCTCCCCCTCCCCCCCCCTTCAGTTGGTGTGTACAAGTGGTGGTAGTGGAAGTGGTGGTGGTGGGGGGTTAGGCGTGAACTCTTATTCCAGAACACGTGGGGGTTTTGAGTCTATTTCCTATAAAGTACCGGTAATTAATGTAATATTTTATGATTTCAGTCTATTCGTGGGTATATGACCATGAGTTTAGCATTAGGTTGATATCAGCGTGATGTTAAGTATGGGAGAAATAAGAGGATTTGTTTGAATAATGGTGTTAAATCCCTGCTCACAACTTTCAGGCGGCAGTTAAGACGGGCTGTGATTGGTGAAACTGGCGGGGTAGGGTGGGTACGTCCCTCCCCCAACTTAGCCAACCACGCGCCGACCTCGCTCAGTTGTGCCCAAACCCTCGACTAGAGAGTATGTGAGTGCCAGTTAGTTAGTGGTGTTTTTCCCTGTGGCACGCTGATAGTGTTAATAAACCCCCTTCCTCCCCTCTACCAAGTGTCCTTAACTAAAGAACACGTAAATTGAGTGTGATACTGTTCTTCTTCTTTGGGGGTAAATATATATATATTAACGTATGAATAATGTGCAGTTGTGGAAAAGAATTCTAAGAAAAACACGATCCCGAGATTTGTGTTTACGTGTTTTAGGTAAGTCGCCGCCAGACAAGTGCCTTTCGGATTTCACTGTGGTGGTGTTGCCTTTTCACTGTTAGAGCGAGCTGCTGGTAAACGACTTCTCTCACTCTAGTCTCTGCCGAACTGTTTGTGTGTGTGTGTGCAACGGGAAAACAAATAATCGGCCAATCCGTGGAGTGTTTAAATGGTGACTTACAGCGAATACCAACCAGACGTGTCAACTAAACTCAAGGTAAAGTGTTGACCTATAACTACTGGATGTATGTGTGTGTGTGTGTGTCTGTCTTATATAATAATTACACTGATATGTAAACGAGAAATACTTAAATTACAGCCAGAAAAACAAGTTACTGGAGGATATTTCTAGTTTCTTAGTAAAATATAATAGTTTCCTACCTTGTGAATATATCTCACTAGTTGATTATATAACATTACCACTTATTACTGTAACGTATTGACTACAGTACTGTATCCTAGGCTATAAGTTTGTAATATTTACTAAGTACTCTTATTAACTTTAAACTTGCCATTACTCACTGGTTTGTTGGGTCCCTTCCTTAACGACCCACAATACGTAACGAGTATGACCTTACAAGACTAGTAAAGATTGGTAGTTTAGCTAATTAACCGTGTGTAGGTGATAGTTCTGTGTGTGTGTGGAAGCAATTACCACCGATTCATGTCTTTGTATTTACTAGTGATGAAACAGTTGTGTTTATTTTCTGTTAACTTGGAAGGATATATGAGCTTGTATGTCTTAGTATCCGGGTCTGATCATATAACACTGTTTAAACCTTTATTGGTATTTCTATTCGTTGTATATCTTATCTTTTCTTCTTATCGCTATTAACGGTAAGGAAAATAAGGGTTTATAATTCTTCCCGACTCCTAAATTAAACAGATAAAAGGAGAGTTAGGGATTAAACAAAAATAAACCACGTATTTTGTTAACAAGTATCTGGGCTTATTGTTACTCAAACCACACCATGCAACACGCACTGGAGCTGTGAACTATAAGCTTCCTGCAGTGGTTGTCAGGTACCCGTCAGTACTAACTCAAATGGTCTGTTTTAGTACCATTTTTGTTATTTGTGGTTTAGGTTGACTATAGTTACTGGTAAAAATAAACCAAGCTAACTTTATCCCTCTCCAAGCTAACTTTAACCCTCCCCAAGCTAACTTTAACTCTCCCCAAGCTAACTTTAACTCTCCCCAAGCTAACTTTAACCCTCCCCAAGCTAACTTTAACCCTCCCCAAGCTAACTTTAACCCTCCCCAAGCTAACTTTAACCCTCCCCAAGCTAACTTTAACCCTCCCCAAACTAACTTTACCCACTGCAAGCTAACTTTACCCACCCCAAGCTAACTTTACCTCTCCGTAAGCTAAAATTAATAAGCTTAACTGGGTTGTGTGTGTGTGTCGTCATTAATGGAGGCTTTAGACACCAACGCCACTACTACTACCACCTTGCCAGCAGCGGGTCTTTAAAATGATCGTAAGATTAGTTAAGGTCTGCTGGTTTTTTGTTGTTTGGTGATCATAGACGTACAGTTATTGTGATGTATAGGGAGTTGGATCAGGTATGGGGGAGGTAGATAATTTTTTTCCTTGACTAAAACACCGATTCAGTTTTTTCCCGGTGTTTTTTGTGTATATAAAAACCATATCAGTTAGATCAGTGTGTGTGTGTGTGACAGTGAAAGCTAGTAATCTAACCTCATCTTGACGTCGGTCTCCCGTTAGACTCTGTAACCACGCCAAAAACCTTCCACTCTCCCTGCGCCCCCTCCCCCTCTGACCCCCCTTAAACTCGGCTGTCACGGAAATAGTTATCTTATAGGCTCACGATGTAAACATAAGACTCTTACTTATATACATTTAGATGGGTGATGTTGGTATTTCCGTCAAACTTAACCTCTGTCCTGAGTCTTATTTAACGGCGTGTTGTCTTCCTTCCTGTCTATATTACTTGACGGATTACCTTATTAATTATTATACCCTATCGGTTTAAAAATACGAAAAGTTGGCAAAGTACACAACGGCCTAGTTCACTGTGGCGCCAAAGGAGAGAGAGAGAGAGAGAGAGAGAGAGAGAGAGAGAGATATTACTCCGTTATTTTCAAGTTCTTCCTTCCTCCTCCTTCCTCGTCGTAGTCAACTGCCTCCTCCCTCCCCCAACATGAAACCCTAACTTGAATTCCTTTTTAATCATTTATATCCTTAATTATTTTCACTGTGATCCTACAATACATAGGAACTAACTTAAGACCAGTGTTGACATTAGTGTATAGTAACCGTTGAAAATATCACCGTGTGTGTGTGTGTATTGAAGTGATGTTACTCTCCTTAGACCCGGGTTAGAGAGTAGAGAATTCCTTGGGGGTCACGTTACTAATTTTTACCCAGAATGAAGATGTGTGAATGTGTCTTAACGAGCTCCGAGAAACTTAAACTACACGTTATCACCCCCCCGAGTAGTTGAGTAGTTAGTGTGATAATAATGGTTTCCGTGATTATTGTAGTTATTTTTTTTTCCACACGTGGTTATGGAGGGAAATTTGAGTGAAGACTGAGTGAGGATTGAGATTCATTTCTCTGTCATGTCTGAGTGTTAACGAGTCGTAGGATTTTCTGAGAGGAGAGAGAAAGAGAGAGGCAAACTGCGCCTTGGTGAACAATTTAATGGCGTGAGATTGAAACAGAAGGCAGTATTACCCGCCAAGTTATATATATATATATACAGTAGGCCGGAAATATGTTCCTCCCTGTTCCCTCCCTGCTTGCTCCCTGCCTATTTCCTCCCTCCAACTCAGTGTCTCAGGGAGGGAGGGAGGGAGGAAGGAAGGGAGGGAGGCAAAGACTTTTTTTTCTAGGACACTATACCAACACAACAATAAATAAATAAATACCTCGTCTTCCTCATTTCAAAATTAACAAAATCACCAAAATTATACGTCTATAATGTAGATTTAGTAGTGATAATCAACTAGAATTACTGTAGATTATAGGTGAATTTACGGAGCATCAGGTGTCATGTTAATTTATCGACTAATCAGTATATGGATGATAGAGTCCGATCGAGTGAAGTAATCTTGTTGACGTGTGTGGAGTCGCGTTCAGTACACCTTATCTGATGTGGGTGTTGGCGTATTGGCGTTACTGAGGTGGTGTATTGGTGTTACTGTAGTGGCGTATTGGCGTTACTGTAGCGGCGTAGTGAAGTAGCTCGTAACAAATATATCAGAGGCTACAGTATTTTTTGTTTTATTGCAGTGTACTGTATGGTAAATATGGATTATCTGTAGAGTTGCCCCTAGTTTATTTCACCTGAAGATTAATCACCTAGTTTATTTCACCTAAAGATTGACCACCCTAACGCTATCCTAATCAAACTTAACCTAACCTCGCCAAATTTTAAAGCCAGGTTACATTAGAGTCAGTTCATTTGTATCGACCATACTGCTGTAAGTCAAGTTAGTTTGGGTTATTTTTAATCGTTCACATACAGGAGGATGCGCTGACGGCGAGGTAAGGGGGTGAGAGCTTCGTTTACATACACTGAAGGTGCAGGTGTTGTACTGTGGGGGTCACCTGAAGAGTCGTCGCCCCCTCCCCCTCCCAGTTAATTACGGCTAGTATAAGTAACCAGCCTTAACCTAACCTTACCTTACCTAACCCAACCCAACCCTCACCCCACCCAACCTAACCTAACCCAACCTAACCTAACGTAAATACAAAAAAATAAATATATATAAATCAATACGTTTGGTTAATTCATTTAGTCAGTCATTTAAATAAGTTTAGACCATTAATTAGTTAGACCATCCACCCCGCCCCCCCTTGAGAATGATAGACTCCCCAGGTGATGATGATGATACGAGAGAAAAAAGATAAGAATAATTGGTCGTGTGAGGTGATGTGGGGAGGGTGGGGGGGGGGATGAGCTTACACTGTAATATTTCCTTGTTGCCAGCCTGTTCAGAAGACCAAGAGACGGGTTGTGGGGGTGAGGGGGGTTAAGATAATTTCCCTTCAGATATCAAAAGCCATAAATGATTCAGTGTAAGTATTATTATATATTACTTTTACTATTATGTTATGTGATATTTATACACTTCCTACTATAATTATGTTACGTGATATATACTTCATAATTTTAGGACAATATGTATCTTTTTTTTCCCCCGGGAGGAAATATATGTAAAGGAAAAAAAAATATTTTGGAAGGTTTATTGAGACGTAATGACTGATATTTACCTCTATCAAAGGTAATATATTCATAATGGGGGCGTGGGTGGGGGTGGGGGGGTATTTAACGCCCTCTTACAACATCAGAGAGAGCCGATCGTATTAACCGTAGTAGTTAGATTAGGTATTTTACTAACCTAACCTAATTTACTGTAACCCAACCTAACCTACTGTAAACTAACCTAACCTACTGTAACCTAACCTATCATAACATAACCTAACCTACTCTAACGTAACCTAACCTATCATAACCTAACCTACTCTAACGTAACCTAACCTATCATAACATAACCTAACCTACTGTAACCTAACCTATCATAACATAACCTAACCTACTCTAACGTAACCTAACCTATCATAACCTAACCTACCCTTACCAGATGAGAATGAACTGTTTTTGGGGTATTTATTTGTAATGTTTTTGTTGTGTTTGGTTCAGTTTATCACAAGGGGTGGTTAGTCTAGTGAAGGGAGCCAATGGTATTTTCATTCGTCTCTGTTGCCTTGACGAGATATATTTATTTTTTAGTAGTGTTATCTGTTGTTTTGTTGTGGTATACTGTAAGTTTGTAAGTCTGAATTGAGTCAATTTAGTAGTTAGACGGATCAATATTTAAATAGAAGTTTGATTATTATTATTATTATTATTATTATTGCTATTATTACTATTATTATTGCTATTATTACTATTATATTACTATTATTGTTTTCATTATTATTATTAAAATTACTGTTATTATTATTAGTATTAAAATTAGTTATTATTATTATTATTATTATTATTATTATTACTATTATTATTATTGCTATTATTACTATTATATTACTATTATTGTTTGTATTATTATTACAATTTCACGACACTTACGAGGCTCATTAGCTACATGGTAATTACTGTTAAATTTATTGTAAGTACAGTTTAAGCGAAGTTAAAAGTAAAAGTAAATTTAACCAGAGTGGAACATGACCGTGTGGTGGTTGGC